GTCTCTCAGCATGGAGGAGTGTGAGGCTCTGTGTACCAGGATGGCCATCATGGTGAACGGCAGGTTCAGGTGTCTTGGCAGCGTCCAACACCTGAAGAACAGGTAACACTGACTCATCTCTTTATTACTTCATTTTGTTTGGTAAAAAAAAAGAAACATGATCATGAATATTAAACCCTGTAAGTGACGCACATGTCATTTTTCTTTCAGGTTTGGCGACGGGTACACCATCATCCTGCGGGTGGCCGGGCCTGATCCCAACCTGCAGCCCGTCATGAAGTTCATCGAGAGCGAGCTGTGTGGCAGCACGCTGAAAGAGAAACACCGCAACATGCTGCAATACCAGCTGCCTTCCTCCCTCACCTCGCTCACTCACATCTTCTCCATCCTCGCCAAGAACAAGGAGACGCTCCGCATCGAGGACTACTCCGTCACTCAGACCACGCTGGACCAGGTATGAACGTCGCGTATGAGAAGGGGCGTGGCCTCAGTGACATCATCATCTGGTTTATTAAGGATCTGTTAAAACCAGAATCCTCTTTCGGTTTTGTTTTGCTTGTTCGATTGTTTGATTGTTTCGTCTGTTTGTTTGTTTTCAGGTGTTTGTAAACTTTGCAAAGGACCAGAGTGACGACTATCACTCCAAAGACGCCTCGGTGAGACGGAAAGAGGTTTCCATCGAAGTCCCCACTCTTAGCTCCGCCCCTGGAGCGGCCGAGGGGCACAGCTCTGTAAGCGAGAGCGTCATGTGATCGTGTGGTCACGCATGTCCATGTTTAAGAGGACTCTACACCGAGCAGAGCGGACGCCCCCGCCTCCCCGCTGTGATGTCATAGTGATTTAGAACTTGGTAGCATCACCAGCTGCCTCATGCCAGTCAATGCAAACCGTTATCGTGTTCTCAGCGCGCAGCCGGCGTTGAACATGTGACCGTTAAGAGACACTTGAATAAGTTGTTGTGATCGATCGCTGCCGATCAGCTGATCAGGTCGAACATGAAGAACCAATCAAACGTCAAAGAGTGGCCTAAGAAGATTTAAAAAAAAAAAAAACGTTTGATTCCGTTTTTAAAGTTTTATTTATGTTTCCGTTTAATCCATGTAACATCACTGTTTCCTGTTTAACAGCCAATCAGTGATCGGTATATTGATTTTATAGTTTTTGTAAAAAAGAGAGATAAAAAAACAGATTGGTAGAGTTTGGGAGAAATACCTCATCAGCTCCTCACAGCACAGTATTCATTTGGGATGTAACTATACACTCAGCTCACAAGACGATACCTTGTTCATGATGCGATTTTATCACCTTTTTTTAAAATTATTTTATTGTTTTTACAACGACACAAGATTTAAGTTTATTCATGAAGAAATATGGTCCATTCATTTCAATTCTCTGACAGAAAAAAAACCATAAAAATATACTTTTCCTAATGTCTCTTTGACATATAATACATTTCAATTTGAACTTAGAAGCCAAAAGCTAACAGCGCCCTCTTCTGGCTGAAAAAGCAGTATCTCAAAGTATATTATTTTCAAATCAATTTAAATCCTCGTGTTGTTTTTCAATTGTATCGCGAGGTATCGTTACATCCTGAGTATTGAACATTCCTGCAAACAGCTGATCACCAATTGATTCGTCGATTGATTTCGCCAAGAGATCAGCTCTTCAGCACTTTAAGTGTTTGCACTGACACGTGGTCGTTTTTTTTTTTTTTTTTTAAAGCTGATGAAGAGGATCTGTTCCTGACCTTCAAAATAAAAGAAACAAATCTGATGTCTCTGTCATCTCGTCTTTATTTTGAAATTCACAAATTGTAGTTATTGAAGAAATACAGATGTGTGTTTAACATCAGATTATATAATCTGACTGTGGTTTATTATTCAGATTAATTACAGATACACTCACTCTCCAAAGGTGACTCGACCTTCTGAGGTTGTCAAAATTAGATTTGTACATATTACATTCATTAGTCATTTTAATAATGGTTAGTTTTAGGGAAAAAATTATAATCTAAAAAATCTATTTCATCAAACAGGTGTGCAGGAGATGAATAAATCCATCAACTGCCTTTGCAAATTTGGGATTTTTGCATCAGATCACACAAATGGGCATTTAGCAGTCTGACACATCGTTGGATTGTCATTAGAATCTCATGAAGTTTAAAATTCTGGTATCGTAACAACTCTAGTATAAAGTGTATAGATCAAATGTGAGGTTCCTGGGGGGAGGGGCTATATAGTTTAAAGGACTATATCTAAAACAAACTTGTCAGTTTGTCTCTGCATGAAGAATAAATAAAGTTATGTTTGTAATATTATTTAAAAAAAGATCAATGGACAACACATGCTCACATTTCAATTTATTATCTCAGGTGTTTTGCACTCAAACAGCACAGTTGAGATTTAAAGGGACAGCCTGTAAAATTAAATGTAAACGTGTTAAGCTCCGCCCACTGTCTCACTATTGCACCCTGCTGATGTCACTCACACTGCCTGCCAGGTTCTTCAATACATTAAAAAGGAGGATCAGTAGTGTTAATTAAACTGTTCACTTGTGAGGGGGGGAGGATCAGTTTGACTTTGTGGAAGTGTTTTTCCCTGTTACCATGGAGACACAGGTGTGAGGACAGGAAGTTACTTTAGAGGAGAGAAGGGGAGGGGGAACATGAGTTTGTTCTCCTGAGAGTCCAGGTGAACGACGCTGCCCCTGACTGAGAGAGAGAGAGAGAGAGAGACACTGGATCAGATTCAATAAAGACGACTCTCTACAGGTCGATGTGGGCGGAGTCTCACCTGCGGCAACCACGCGTGGGTCAGTGTGAGCTCTGTGTCGGAGCTCAGCCCGCCGGTCAGCGCTCTCAAACCACCTGAGGGCGTGAACTACAAGACACGACACAATGACATCATCACACAGTCAGTGACATCATCGGCATACATACATATTAGTTGTTTATTTTTCACAGTGTACCTCTGTTCATCGGCCCCAACTCGTTGTGGAATGCTCCAATCAGCTTGCCATACCCCGGTGCATCATGGGAGTTGATCGAGGCCTGGAAGGTGTCGCCCCAAACCGCTGGCCCGCCGGGATGCATCATGTAGGAAGCCAGCTCGTACACACCTGAAACACACCTGAGGTTATTATGATGTCATCAGATAAAAGAGAGCTCACATTGTGTGTGTGTGTGTGTGTGTGTGTGGGGGGGGCTTACCGCCTTCCTGTGGAGGCGCCTGCAGGTGACTCCAAGGCAGCATGTAGGTGACCTCATTGTCCTGAGACGTCAACATCGGGATCGCCTTTGAGATGTAATCTGACAGCCAGGATGGATCCTGAGAGAGGGCGGAGCGAACACCTGCCCGCTGAGAGTAACTGTCTGGGAGGGGGAGGGGGAGGGGAGAGGAGGGGGGAATAGTGTTACACATTTCAAACCTCCAGAAGAAGAAAAAGACTCAAAAGAAGAATGATAACCTCACCATACTTCCATATATGGAAGACTTTATTCAGGCCGCCATACTCAATGCTCCAGTAGCCAATCAGCTGTGAGTGGGCGGTGCGCAGGTGTATCTTCTCATTGGTCAGTTGGAGGAAGGCGGAGTTCAGGTGAGGGTGGATGCTGTAGGTGCGGAACTCATAGAAGGTAGAGTGTTCCTGCTGGGGAGCTGAAGAGAAGCGCAGGCAGCGCTGCAGAGGAACACAAAGTGGAGAGGTCTTATTCTGACAGAAAAAATAAGAGGTGTCACTCTGACAGAAAAAAAAAAGAAAAAGGAGATTATTTTCAAAATGTTTTAATGTCAAAAATTCTAATCAAACTCCTGCACACTGTCTAAATTATTGTTGCCAAGTATCAACATTATTACAACCATAGAACAACAATCACCACAGGTCAGTAAGTCTCTGTTAATCATGTGTTTGCTGGCATCTAGTGGTTATACGACATTATGACACGTGTCAGTGTGTTACTGTTACTCTTCTGTTAGTGAAGACAAAACTCCACAAAGTTGAGTCTCCAGAAGAGTGAGTGAGTGAGTGAGTGAGTGTGTTCCAATCCACAGGGTATCAGAGCATCAGTCTGAGTTCAGAGGCCTCTCAGCTGGTTAATCTTAAACTTCACATTTTGACCTTTTACTCTGATCGGTACAAAGATCAACACACGCACGCACACACGCGCACACGCACACACACACACACACAGTGAAAAAAACATGTAAAAAACAGTACAAAATATGCATACTTTGATAATCTAGAGTCAAACTCGGACAGTCAGATGCACGGATGATGTGTGTGTGTGTGTGTGTGTGTGTGTGTGTGTGTGTGTGTGTGTGTGTGTGTGTGTGTGTGTGTGTGTGTGTGTGTGTGTGTGTGTGTGTGTGTGTGTGTGTGTGTGTGTGTGGAGCTAAGGTTAAAGTTGGTTAGGTGAGGTCACTGTTAGTTAATGGTTTGGTTGTAGTTGGTATAGGTTAGTTAAAAAGTTGAGTCAGTGGATTGTTTGCGATCAGAGCTGAACTCACCTGAGCTGCAGGTGTAACAGGTGACAAGAGAGCTGCAGCTGATCTCAGAGCGGAGCACCTGAACTTTATCATGTTGGAGCTGAAGTGACAGAAAAATACGAACACTACAGAGGAAGTTATACTGCACACAGAGATCCTCTGGGATACAGAGGTCTCACTCTTCATATAGACTAGAAACGTTTTTTCTCAATTCGTTGGACAGTGTGTTGAGTTACAAATATTTTATTTAACTGCTAAAACTAAATGTATAAAAGTCTGATGTATAAATTAAATATGAAATTACATATACTCAGAAACAATTTGAGTTTTTTTTAACTAAAGTAACGGCAGAAATCTTTTGGTTCCATAAAAAGCTGCAGAGTGATACCTCCTGTCTACACCGCCTCCTCTCAGAGGCAGAGAGTTTGTGACCTCAGTTCGTTAAATCTCAATAAAATGTTTTTTTATTGTTTAGCAATTTATTGAATTAGTGTTGTATCGATGCTTTTTACGTTTGTTTAATTTAATTTTTTACTCTAACGGAAGCTAAATAAATGACGATTTTGACGTCACATCCGTTCAGGAAGTTTAACGGAGCAGCAGCGGAGTCTCATGTGTTTGTTTGGAGATCCAAGGTGAGTGAAACATGTTGCAGATGTTTCAGGTGAGTGTCCGCCGGGCGGTGCTGAGAGGGGGCGGCCTGCTGCTCCACCAACCCCCCGCTGCGGCCTCACTGCCGGGCCCGGTGGCCGAGGTTCGTCGGTGTGTTAGCCGGCAGGTGAGCAGCAGAGCCGGGAGGACGGTCCGGAGCTGCACCGTTGACCCGAACCTGGAGGAGCAGTTCGTATTCGTGGACTGTACAGGTGAGTCTGAGGACAGGTGTGAGTTCAGGGAGGACTACAGGTACTGTTCATGTTCAAGAATGTCTCTTAGAAAGTAAACAAGAGACTTTCATCAGCTTTCAACCAGAGATTCTGCTGAAAGTCACCAATTAACACGGTCACTCTTTAAACCATAACACCGGACAGCCACATGTACAATAAGCTGATAAAGATGAACTGGAAACCCAGAAGAGGAGACGGATATGAGTAAAAATAAGTACATGACTGGTTTGTTTTTAACCAATATATGAGTTTTAAATGTTAAGTAGTTGCCTGTAGTTGTCACAGGCCCTTTTCTATGGAAGCCCATTTCTGCCAGTTAAAAAGATAAAAATTAAGTCATAATTATGAGATATAAAGTCAAAATTATGAGATAAAAAGTTATAATAATGAGATAAAAAGTCATAATAATGAGATATAAAGTCATAATTATGAGATATAAAGTCATAATGAGATAAAAAGTTGAAATAATGAGAAAAAGTTGAAATTATGAGACTTTATTATTTTCATTTTCATTTTTTTTACTGGCGGAAATGGGCGTCCATACTTTGCTCATCTGTGACTCAGATCAGATTTTTTTTAAGGACAGTGTGAACAGCACAAGTCACATTGAATCTGATCTTTTCAAAACAGATTTGGGGCTACTTTCATATTTGGATCCAAATCAGATAGATGTTGGATCTTCAGTCAGAACAGCAAGGTCAGATTGGCCCAACTAGGGACACCAGTTGGAAATTAGCAATAGCTATATACTCTTTATGCAGCACATCAGTTTCATGCTTTGTATTTAAACTCTGTTAAATTGCATTGTCCCTATGAAATAAATAAACTTTGAAGTCACTTGCTGGCAGCACGTGAAGAGGGGGGGCTCATGACAGACCCCGGCTGTCACGATCATGGACAAGTCTACTGTCAGCAGATCATCATATTTTACAATCTCTGAGCAAACTGTGATATTAAAATATGAAGAAGTTAAACTGATAGTCCAAAATGAAAGTACAGCTGTAGCGATGATGCAGGAAGAACTGAGACAAGAAATCTGACAGTGAATGCACAAATTAGGCTTATAATATCACTCAGTTGATCTGAATATAATAACCCCCGCATCTCTCTCTTTAGATTAATGATTTGATCATTTGTGGCATGTTTGAATGTTTAAGATGTTATATTTCAGCTGCAGCTTCGACGATATACAAAGCGGAGTTGGGCTTCACTGTTTCTCTGTTCCATTTTCTCCTGTTGTTTTCAGATCCAGAGGAGGACTTAGATCAGGCTGAGACCTCCCTCCCCTCCTCATCTGTCTCCACTCCTCCTGCTGCCCCTCTTCAGGTCCCTCCTCAGAAACACCTGAGGTCTCTGGAGCGTCAGCTGCAGGTGTTGAGGGTCGTGTCCGAGCAGGAGGCAAAGCCCGACTCTTTGATAGAGTTCCATGATGTGGATTTCCCTTTGGACGAAAGCATAATTGCGGCAAAGAAGAAGAAAAAGAAGAGGGCGGGGCCGGGTGAGCACAAAGTGTTCGGGACGCCTGACATAGACGAGCCGTTCAGTGACACGTGCTGCTCGGGTTGCGGCGCCATCCTGCACTGCTCTGCCTCCGCCGTGCCCGGGTATCTGCCAAGTGAGAAGTACAAGGTGCTGCTGCAGGAGCAACGTCTGGACGGGGCTACCTGTCAGCGCTGCTATCTGCTGACTCATCACCACAAAGCGCTGAACCTGCACCTGTCCCATGAGCAGTACAGACAGGTGGTGCAGAGGCTCCGCCCCCTAAAAGCTCTGATCCTGCTCATTGTAGATCTGATGGACGTCCCCGACTCCATCATCCCCAACCTGGCCGAGCTGTGGGGACCAACAAACACGTCGTCGTCCTCGGCAACAAGATCGACCTGCTGCCCAGAGACTCGCCCAACTACATGCAGCGACTCAAACGACAGCTTTCTCGCTACTGTGAGGACGCTGGCTTCGGCCGCCAGGTGACAGACGTCCACCTGATCAGTGCTAAGACGGGATACGGCGTGGAGGCTCTTATCTCCAGCTTGCAGCGCTCCTGGAAGCACAAAGGGGACGTGTACCTGGTGGGCGAGGCCAATGCTGGCAAGTCTACGCTCTTCAACACGCTGCTCGAGTCCGATTACTGCAAGTCCAAAGCCTCAGACCTGATCCATAAGGCCACCATCTCCCCATGGCCCGGTGAGCACAACGTTCCCATCCTATTGATTTAATGTTTGTTAGTTTTTTTGCATGAAACATTGTCTGACTGCTCAGAATAAAACTCAAGTTCAGCCTGAATTATAATCCTCCAGCACAACATGATTAATCTGCAGGAAATTACATCAGACTGTAAACATTTCATCAGGTGCGCTGCCTCTTCAATGAATCTGAGAACCTGACATCAGTATTTAGAGCAGGAGCGTGGAAAAGGGTTTTCATACCATTTGTATATATTCATGTGTATTAACAGGCAGGTTTCTTTAAATTCACTTTTTAAGGTATGTAGGTGGAAAACCTAAGAGTTCAAACTCTCCAACAACATAGCATGCAGAATAAAGTCGTTTTTCATTTTGACACATAACCTTTTATTTTGACTTATATTCATTTACAGTTCAGCCTAGTTTCTAAATATATATAAGTATAATCTAAAGGTTATGACCTAACCTGTTGTCATGTGACTGTGTTAACCTTTGGCGGTGCATTCAGGGACCACTCTGAACCTGCTGAAGTTTCCCATCATCAACCCGACTCCATACAGGATGTTCAAACGACAGGAGCGACTTAACGAAGCGTCGCAGCAGACAGAGAGTGATTTGACGCAGGACGAGCTGAAGAGGCTCAAACACTTGAGCCGGCAGGGCTACCTTGTGGGTAAGACGGGGGAGAGAAGGGGAGAGAAGGGGGGTTGGGGTGACAGGTAGAGAAACAGGACACTTGTTGACCTGTCTACCTGTTCAGGTCGAGTCGGCAGAACGTTCCGGTCAGACGTCGGCTCCAGGCGGAACGAGATAGAGTTCGATCCTGACGGTTTGGCTTTGGGAGAAAACGAAGACGGAGAGACGAAGACGACGGGTGAGCGGAAGCGTTTGATTGGATAAATGGTCTAAGATGTCATCAGCTTAAGGTTTATTGAGCTTACCACTAACACCCACTCTGTGTGACCCCTGTGTGACCCCCAGCCTGCAGCAGGTCACCCGATGAGTTCACCTTCAACGAGCTGAAAGACGCCCACTGGCTGTTCGACACGCCGGGGATCATCAAGGAGAGAGACGTGAGAGACTATGAGCTGCTGATTTATCAACAACAAAAATCAAACAAATAAACAACAACACAAAACATGTAACACTTAATTTCAAAAGGCTAAAAAAGGACCAATCCCCTCTCTCTCTCTCTCTCTCTCTCTCTCTCTCCTTCTTCCTGTGTCTCTCGGCCAGATCCTGTCGCTGTTGAAAGAACAGGAAGTGCTGTCAGTGGTTCCCTCTCAGGCGCTGGTTCCCAGAACGTTTGTGTTGAAGCCCGGAATGAGTCTGTTAGTTGGCGCACTGGGTCGGATCGACTTCTTACAGGTCACACACACACACACACACACACACACACACACACACATTATACACACTTGAAAGATTACTATTTTTACTTCAGCTTCATTTTCTAAAAAGGTGGGACGTAGTGTAAAATAGTTTGTAGGTATGCATGGTCTGAGGAAGTTCTAACTTGGTTCGTAGAGTAACAACATATTGATGAATCCCATAAAGTATACGTCCCCTAAGTCCTCGGTCCAAAGGGCCCGCCCATTCCTGTCGCATTTTTTTGTATACTGGACTGATATAATAATAATAATAATAATAATAATAATAATAAAACAACGTCTATATTTGGGTCATATACTGCAGTACCATGGACAGCGCCGGCATAACGACAGTCACAGAATCAGCACCTTGACGCTACTGTGACTTAATAAGTTTGTCATGTTAGAAAGCTCAAAATGTGTTGGCATTACGTGGCTTATTCTGAAGTTTAAAATAAATTGAAGGAGACCATTAACAGTTGGAACGGCTTAAATCCTACATTGAGCAATAATGGTCAAACATTTCACTCTCAAAATGACATCAACTGGTTTCCTCAGTCCACAAACATTTAGAGTTGTTAAAAGAAGAAGTGACGCCTCAGAGTGGTGAACATGACCTTTTCCGAACTTTTATGAAACATGTTGCAGGCATCATATTCATTATTTGTTTTAAAATTAAAAAAAAAAACAATAATGTTTCTTACTTTAAATTAAATACTGGGTTTACAAGTTTCAAATCCTCACAATCTGTTTTATTGACATTTCACACAATGTCCCAACTGTGTAGGAAATAAGGTTTTATTATTTATTATTAACTGATTCTAAATTCATTGGTACTCTCTTGTCTCTCTCAGGGGGGGCGGTCCTGCTGGTTCTCAGTGATGGTCTCTGCTCGAGTCCCGTCCACATCACCAGCCTGGAGAAAGTCGACCAAATTTATGAGAAACACGCTGGAGGAGAGCTGCTGGGGGTGAGGTCACTGAGGGGGAGGAGACCTGCTGGGTGTGAGGTCACAGAGGGGGAGGAGTCACTGAGGGGAGGTGGGGGGTCACAGAGGGGGAGGAGACCTGCTGGGCGTGAGGTCACTGAGGGGGAGGAGACCTGCTGGGCGTGAGGTCACAAGGGGGAGGAGACCTGCTAGGGTGAGGTCATTAAAGGGGGAGGAGACCTGCTGGGCGTGAGGTCACTGAGGGGGAGGAGACCTGCTGGGGTGAGGTCATTAAAGGGGGAGGAGACCTGCTAGGGTGAGGTCACTGAGGGGAGGAGACCTGCTGGGGTGAGGTCACTAGAGGGGGAGGAGACCTGCTGGGTGTGAGGTCACAGAGGGG